TTCAAAGTACGGATTAAATCGACATCAAATATTCCAGTCAAAGAATACAGCGTAAATGTATAATTTTCTGCATCCCCTTGCACCAAAATTTGGCTATAGGGTCTACTTGTTGCCGAGAGGGGGCATTTGGGCCTGTAGGACCCATCGCCGGCTCTTCGGGCTTCTTCCTATCCCCGGAATTTGAACGGGTATTGACCATCTCTGATTTGCCGCTGGTATAAGGGTTAAATACTACTGCTGTTATAAATAACAGTTCCAGTGACAAATATCTGTTATAGGTATCGGTTCCAAGGAACAGTTACAAAGTAACAGAGCAAAGATGGAAAACAGACAGGTAAAAATAATCTAAGTATTCCTTGACTTAAAGAAGGAATAACTTAGTAAAAACAAGTAAATCAAAATGGTATAAAAAATATAATGCAAGAGAAATGTTCCTAAGTGTTTCTTGACTTACGGAAGAAACAACTTAGGACAGAAATATAGAAAAAATGAAATGTGCAAGTGTGAGAATAAAATATGGAAATATTTCTAAGTGTTTCTTGACTTACGGAAGAAACGACTTAGAAATGAAAAATAAAGTATAAAACAAGAAATGCAAAAATGAAGCAGATTATAGAAATACGTCTAAGTGTTTCTTAACTTACGGAAGAAACAACTTAGAACAGGAAATAAACAAGTAAAATAAATGCACAAATATTTATAAGTGTTTTTTGGCTTATGGAAGAAACAACTTATAATAGAAAACAAGAAAATCAAATACAGAAAAGATGTGAAAATATTGCTAAGCGTTTCTTGACTTACGGAAGAAACAACTTAGCATAAAATGGAAAATGAAATAGACAAATATATAAGTATTTTCTTAACTTACGGGAGAAAATATCGTAGATACAATATCAGAAATAATAATGCGGTAAGAAAATATTTCTAAGTGTTCTTTGACTTACCGAAAAGAACTACTTAGATACAAAGCACAAAATCAAATATATAAAATAGAAAAAAAGGCAAGATAAATATTTCTAAGTGTTCTTAACTTACGGAAGAACAGCTTAGATAAAAATACAAGAAAATAAACAATCAAAATAATCAAATAAAACAGCAACCAATCAATACATGAACAAATATGTAATATTCTAACCTGACAAGGTCTGAATATACAATAATGCTGAAATAAAAGAAATGGTATGCAGGAAATCAGAAATAAAACAATAGCTTAGTCGGAACAATAATAGCACCGACTAGGTCTACAGTAGAAGAGGCAAGCTCGACTGACCGATGGGAGAAATTCCATCTGCTTTTATATAAAACAAATCCTTTGTTTTACGTAGCAAAAGTGGAATTTCCCTGCATCTAGTCAATTAGAAACTTGGATTTGCCCAAACTTGGAATTTCCAAGTATTTCTCCGAATTTCTAAATGCGTCCTGCACGGCTGTCAGCTTCTGCCTGACACGCCTCCGGAGACATACTTACCCTGTACTTCAAAGTTGGCCCTATGTTGTAGGGTGCATTTACCTTGGGGGGGGGGGTCCACCCCTTTTCGGGGGTAATATTTTTATTAAAGGAAACACTGGGAATTTTTATATTAACAAATTTTAAACAACTTTTTTGCTATACATTTTTTTCTTAAAGTTATTGACTCTATGGTTACATCAATTTTAGAAAACGACGATAACCTGTTAGATTATCAAATGTTTCAGCAAAATAGTGCACTGCCCCATTATACATTCAGGTTCGAGTGCTTTTGAATGAGCGTTTTCCCCCATGATCCATTGCTCGGAGAGGTGCAATAGAATGCCAGCTAGATCTCCAGGTTACAATCTCTTGGATTTTTCCTCTGGGGTCATTTGAAATTAACAGTTTTCATCACTTTATCGGAAAATATACAAGAACTGTGGCAAAGAATTATTTCCGAATGCTGGAGAATAACTCTTGATGTGTCGAAAAATGTTGGATAGGAGTATCATTCAAGATAATATTGTTGTATGGAAGTTAGTCATTTAGAGCAATATATTTGTCAGTTTAAACCTTTTTGAACTTTTGTTAATTTTTAAACTTTGAAATATTAAACAATAATTTGTCGGTAACTTTGGATCAATTTAAAAAAAATGAACATGGTTGTGCAAACAATAAAAAACTCTTCCAAATTATAGTCATTTGACTCCACGTCCTATTTAAAATTTGTGGGGGTGCAATTTCCAAGCATTATTTAATTTACTTAAAAATTGATATTCCTCAACTTGTTTTTGTATTTTTGTCAAAACATTTATTTGGTATGTTTTAGGGGGTACAAATTTTCGTTGGGAGGCCGTGTTTAATAATAATCAAATCCTTGTAACTCCACCAGAGAGTGTATGGTATTATATAGGGTATGCCGTTGAGCCAAAGATGTGAAAGAGAACAAACGAGACCAGTGCTTTATTGTCTATTATTAGTGTTAACTTCTATCCAATATACACGCTCTATTCAGACTGAGTAGACATTATAACTTTGGAAATTTTTTAAAAATAACTCTAACTTTTTGCCTGTACCGGAAACCGGCCTGGATCTTCCATATGTGATAGTCAAACATGCCACTACGTGAGTTACCCGATCTCTATTTTTGCATTTCCCTACTTTAATATTGTTTCTTTCATGTTTGATACCTTAAAACTTGATCAGAAGAGTTAAAAATATCCAAATTAAATTGAGAAAAAAGTTTTGAATATCTTGAGTCAAATTATTCAGAATTTTGCAACCCGATAATATATAATTTTGATTTTAAACCAATTACAGTTAAAGCCTCATTAACTCATTAAGTGATAAATGATTTTCTTGAAAAAACGATTACCCTTTTCGTTGTTGGATAATTCTGCAAGATATAATGATGATGTCATAGGCGACAATCTTTATTGTTTTATTTGTTGGGAGATTAGCTCTTCCTATATGGAACTAGATCTCTTATAACAATATGCAGAGGTGGGAGGTCTAGTAGGGTTCCATAACTGTTGCTGGTTTGCCTCTCAGACTGCCTGTAATTCCAAAGGTAATATAACCAAATCTCTGCACGTTGCTTAATTTGAGGACGTCACTTTTCTGCACTTTTGGTCACGATACGACTGATGCATTTCTTATTGTTGGTTTTGGTCACCATAGTATATATAATTCAAATATGACGTGTCAGGTTTTAGAACCCTCATTTTTCACTGCTTTCTGGCTTGGATCTGCTGATTCAAGTAAGCTTCGAGTGTAGTATTATCCCAAAGTTACTTCTCACCCTATCACCAGATTTAGATTTGTAATAGTTAAGTTTAGAGAGTGTAACCTCTATTAGATTCAGGGGCAAAATGAGCAGTTCGATTTTCTCTTTTGGTATCAGTTGCTAAAAATCCTAAATTTCTCAAGTGAACTAAGAAGTGGTAGCTGGTAGAACAGTTATTAAAGATCAATTCGTAACTGTTAAGATTTTCAACTTAAGTAGTCTTTTCCACCACATGACACCCAGGGCCATCTTTTGAAATTTGATCAGTATCAGTAGAAACTTTCTCAGAACAAAGGTATAGTTGTAGCAAAACTCGCCAGTATCACACCCGACCCAACACTTACATATATCCAAATCTTATTGGTTGTCATTTATGAATTGTTTCAGAGAAACATGCCCGTAGTATCCCACAATCATTATGTCGATGGAAAGGTTTAAATCAAAAATACAAATTTCTGAAAGTGATCACATCAGTTTCATATTTGAATGTCTTATATATCATTTATTTGTTGGACTTAATTACAAACAGCGTTTTTGAAATTTTTTTACAATAAGAAGCCATGTTAACTTTCCACAACATTTCCAAAGTTGTGATTTAAGTTACTATTTACTCACTTTGTTTTGTCTTTACTTGGTGTCTTGGCTATTTACAAGTTATAAAAAATTAGACTAACGAGCAAATTTTTTAAACCAAAAATCTTAAAATTAATGTTTGTTGTTCTCCACAATGCTATTTCTTAATTTTTTTTAATGGCTTCAACCTAGCACTTAACACGCACAAGACGTTTAGACATAAACTATTTGCAATCAAAAGGTTGAGTCTTCCTCAACCATTCCATGCTGATCCAGAAGTAAAGTGTAGAGTGTCTTTACTTAACATATTTTTTATTTTATTTTTAGTAGTATGTGCTGACCTATCTGTTATATGATATTTATCTAATAAAATTATTTCTACTTATTCTGTAACATCTTGCCCCATGGAAGGTCCCAACTCACCGTCATCGATTTCATCTTCATCTGATGGAAGTTTTGAAAACATTTGCTGCAATTTCTTCCAAAATCAAGTACTTTATGGCTTCTTCAGACGTTTTGGAAACTTCTTATATTTGTAACGGCATTCTCTAAAGCATATCCATATCTTTCTTAGTGTCCTATTTATAACACATCAGATTAATTTATAAGGTTAAGTATGGTATTTTTTTCTTCTTTTAAAAGAAAATAGGAAATAAAGCAATAAATTATATTTACTCTTTCTAAAAATATGGTTATTCAATAAATACCTACTCAGCATTTTAATGGTATCGTCTTCAATCAAAATTGTTTAGCTAGGAATAGAATTTCGAATCATTATTTTTCTTGTACAGCGGGTAACAATTTTCGTGCTCTTGTAAGCTTTTCTAGTGATATTAGAAGTTACTTTCTCTAATGGTCCCAGCTGTGAGATTTTGTCTACAACTTTCTAGCAAATTTCGAAGAAACAAAATGCCACAGCAAAGTTTTAAATTGAAGCTCGGAATGCTTTTCCCTTTAAATCTATTTTTAAAATTTTTAGTATGTTGTAATTCGTTCACATGCACTGATCTTCCTCTCTTGATGTAACAGTGAAGTAGTCAAATTTTTTCAGTTTTACAAATTTAGCTACCGTACACTCTCTAATATGGATTGTTGCATTTGTCATGTATGATATAATATCAATCTCTTTTGAAGATGTGTGTTTCCACTAACTAGCTCCGTCTTTTTGTGTTACTACTAACTTGCTTTTAGGACGACCTCCAAGAGGCTGATCAGTACCCAGAAGACAACTTCTACGAAAATATTAGCAATAACATACGTCCTGTTCCAAAAAGCGGCATAGCCAGCAACGATTTCATTGAAAATGAACGTCACCAGTACTACGACACCCCCGTTATTACCCTGAATCTTAAAAATGGCAGCTCAGAAACCCAAAACGGCCACGACGTCGAAGAGGAAAATTTATACGAAACGTTACCGGAACCAAGTAAGACTGAACTGACGGACCAATCCCCCGAGACGCCCAAACTTAATCTTAACTTAGATTTAAGTCCGAAAATCGAAGTAGCGAATGAGTACGAAATCATCAATAAGGAAATCGATAAAGAAACAACTGAAAGGCCTGAATTTAGTCTAAACACTACAGATTTTTCAGAGTTACATCTTTCACAAGACGAAAACGTGAAATCGGTTAAAGATAGAATGCTCCTAATGACAGATGACGCTGCTACGCTGCTATTTACTCAAACTGTCACTTCCCCGATGCTAACTCCTTCCGAAGAAAACATTGACTTCCTTAAAGGCTTCCAAAGAGAAAACACCAACTCCGATGAATCAGCTTCCAATGAAATAACTAAAGATGAAAAAGAAGATAAAGAAGAAGAGAATACCACCAGTGAAGTGAGTGCTGAAATATCCACAAGTGAACCACCAGTTAATACCAGTACACAGGAGGAAGTCAAAATATACGAACATTCAGAAAACATATACGAAAACCTAAAAGAGCCGACAAATGAAAACATCTACGAAAATCTGAAAGAAGTTAAAGATAAAGTAGAAGAATTAGAAAATTACGATGAACATATCTATCAAGATATTGAAGATTACCCAAAGGATCTCTACGAACCAGTAGAGGATCCAGAGAAAAATGATGAATTTATGGTGGAAAACAGTCTGTACAACAAATTAGATGAACTAAGTCAATTCCAAAACGACGAAATAGTCACTGACCTAGATGCAATTGAGAACGGCATTGAAGATGAACCTGTGGATAATAATTACGAAGTTATATCAGAAGATGAACCTGAACTAACTAAAGAATCACTAGAAGAAGTCATCCTAGAAAATCACATCGAGGAAATTAAAAAAGAAGAAGTTGAGTATGAAAGCATTACCGACAGTAATACTGAAGAATCTCTAGACAGTAAAACTAAAGAAACATACACAGAATTTTTATACCATAGCAAAACAGAGAGCAACTATTACGAAAAGTATACAGAAGTCGTGTCCAAAAACACAGAAATCAGTAACAGAGAAAAAGATACTGAAACAGTTCCTGCTGAGATAGTGAAGAATCTGAAGAGTCAGTTTCTTAAAGGAGATGCAGAACTAGTTTCTGCTGCATCCAAAAAGGAAATAGAAGATGTTAGTCAGTTGAAAATGGTCAATATTATAAAGCAAATCAATAAGTTTGAACTTAAGGATACTGGAGAAGCAGCTGACGACGATGTAAGTATAAAAGAAAATTATCCTATTAAAAAATAATTAGCAGAAATAAGGAATTGCTTTGATAAAATAGTCAAAGGAGGAAATATATTTTTAAAGGTGTAAAATTCGTTTTTACGTTAACTATCAGTTTTTCAAAAGTTTTATACAAACTCCACAAGTCCACGTAAGTTTGTAGAAACTGCATGATTGTCGATTTATTTTAAAACTGTTTTTTTTTTGCATTTTATTTAAATCTACTTTAAAAGTTTCATTAATTTTTTTTATTTTATTATTCTTTAATTTTTATTTATTTAGAGCACCGTAACTGAAACTTACACAGAAACCACTACGATTCAGTCCGACACACCTGAGGAGAAGGTTTTAAAAAAGAAGAAAACGAAAAAATCGAGAAAAGAGGAAAAGGAAAACATTTCAGTGGTAAGTTGTTGTTTGTGAGATGTTTTTAAAGGTGTGGTGTAGATGTTACAGGCGTTTTTAAAAACGAGGTCGTACATAGAGAAAACATTAGCAGATTTTATAACTTGAGTTTAAAATATACATGAAATCATAAATTACAAATTATTTTCTTTACTTCCAGATCGGAGGCTCAAAATAGTATTACCACCTTATGGTATGATATATGGTGCTTGTGGCGCTTTTCCGTTTTTATCGCAGCAGTTAAAACCATACTGACAGGTCTGATACTTCCGCTCGGTTTCGGTAGCGTTGTGCGCTAATATCTCTAGTAGGTCTCTCCGTTTATCCGTGTGTGTTTTCCCTGTAATTCTGTTCATGTTTTATGTTCATCTTCTATGCTCTCTCTTCCTATATACTCCTTCTCCACTTATCTATTTAAAATATATACATATTACGGTACTGTGCGAATTAAGGTAATCATAGGCTGTTTTAATGAAAAAAACAGTTTATTTAGAAATACATTATATATTGACCAAACTACACTGCGCTCCAAAATTAACGCATAATTTTAAAATTCTTATTTTGAGTTATAATGAAAAAATTTTTGTTTGTTCTTTTCTGCTTTATGGTTGTTTTAGAACATCTCAAATAAAAAACTTTTCTTTTTTTACAAAAAATGTATTGAAATTAACAATATAACATCATAAATCTAAACATCTAAACAAACAACTCATCTAAACAAATCAACATTATAAATTAATGAATTAATTAGGTAGTTGTCGTAGTCGTCTGCCTATGATGTCCCAAACATGTTCTCTTGGGTTGAAGTGAGGATTTCTTGCAGGCCAATCCATAGCAGGAATTCCAACCTCCTGACGATACTGCTGCACAATTCTTGCCGTGTGTGGCCTGACATTATCTTGCATAAGCATGAAATTATCCCCAGTAAATGGTGCAAATGGCACGGCATGCTCTTCTAAATTGTCTGTTATATACCTCTGCGATGTTAGACGACCGCGATCTATTCTAACTAATTCCACACGAGCCTCGAAATTAATCCCACCCCACACCATTAACAAGCCGCTGCCATACTGTACAGTCCCTACGGCGTTACACTGTGCGTAGCGTTCGCCAGGCCTTCTGCACACTCGGTTTCTCCTGTCATCAGAAAAAAGACAGTACCCGGATTCATCGGTGAACAATATTCTTCCCCAATCGTCATTATTCCAATCAACATGTTCACGCGCAAAATGCAATCTTTGCCTTCTATGGTCTCTGGTCAACAATGGGCCAATTGGTGCCCTTCCAGGGTGTAGGTCGTTTTCTACAAGTCTTCTTCTAATCGTATTTTGGCTGATTCTAAAGTTATAACGATCCAAAAAATTCATTTTGTAGAGAAGTACTGATAATAAATCTTTGTCTCAGTGTCAAAACCAGTCTTGATTAGGAGTTGTAACCCTTCTACGGCCTTGACCGGGTCTTTCCTAGTTACTTCCAGTAACAGAAAAACGTGTTAACACTCTTGAAATGGTTGACTGGGTGACGTTAAAACGTTCAGCGAGTTCTACTTGAGTGCATCCTTCTTCGCGAAGAGTAACGATTCTAAAACAGTCACTTTCTGACAAATTTCGATTTTCTTGCTGCTGGTGGTTCACTTCAAAGAAAAAACACTTAATAAACTTGAAAAACCCCTTTAAAACGTTCAGCATAACGTAATCCAACTCAACTAAATTAGAAATAAGATGAAGCACAATTGACATGTTTTTAATTTTTTTGCAAAAAATCTTAAAAACATCAGCGTCTTTTACCGTTCTTTCGATAAATTTTACAATATACCGGGGGTAACAATAATATATTAGCACCAAAATTGAAACGTTAAAATTATTTGATTTACCAGGGTTTTTAAAATTATGCGTTAATTTTGGAGTGCAGTGTATAAAGGTAAACTTACATCATTTAGTAGGAAATATGTCCCCCTTTGGTTGCAATTACTGCTTTTACCCGTTTTGGCATAGATTCTACGAGCTTCTGACAGTTCCCAGATATCCTTTCATCTCGAAACCAAACCTGAATTGCCGCTTCTATGATTTTTATTTTTGTAGTACAGTCCATTTTGCGTAGTCTGGCTTTGCAAATGGCCAATAAATTTTCAATGGGGTTGAGGTCTGGCGAATTACCGGGCCAATGTAAAACATTAATCTTTTTATTTTTAAAAAATTCCATCATTTGCTTTGACTTGTGACAGGGAGCAGAGTCCTATTGAAGAATCCCTCCTCCTTGGGGCTGACATTTATGGAGTTCTGTGTCCAAATGCTGTTCCAACATGGATTTGTATTTTTGGCTGTTCATCATGTCTTCGATTGGTACCAAAGATCCAACTCTCTTGTATGAAAAATATCTTCAAAACATTTTTTTGACTGTGATGATGAGAAATTTTGAAATATGAGATAGTGTAAGGTTTTCATTGTCAGACTTCCTGTCCCTAAACTATAAAGTGAGTTTCATCTGTAAATAGGACTTTTCTCCAGTCGTCTCCAGTCCAATTAGAGTAATTTTTGGCCCACAATAGCCTTTGTTTCTTCATTGGTTCAGTTAGAAGCGGTTTTTTTCTGTGGAAGCATTGCACTTCTTCTTCTTCTTATGGTGCCTGTCTGTTCCGAACGTTATCGATCATTCTGGCTATGATGACTTTGTTGGTTGCTATACGAAATAGCTGTGTTGAGGTCTTTCTGTACCATGGTCTCAGGTTAGCAAGCCAGGATATTCTTCTTCGTCCTGGGGCTCTTTTTCCTTCAATTTTACCTTGTAAAATACATTGAAGTAGCTCGTAGCTCGTAATTGCCCCACTACCATTCTCCAAAAGTTTTTTCCAAACAGTTAAGTCATGAATCACTACACCTGATGCTGATCTGATGCTCTTGTTTGAGCTCCTGACTTGTTTGTCGTGGGTCTAATTTGCTCTTTCTAAGTAAAAATCTTTCATCTGCTGGTGTTGTTGTTCTCTTTCTTCCGCATTTTTCTGACCTTTTCACATCCAATGATCTCGTTTCTTGTGTACGCTTCAAAATCTTGCTTACTACCCACTGAATAACTCCACACGTTCTTGCGATTTCTCTTTGTGACATAGAAGTGTGGTCACTTAACGTGATAATCTTTTCACGCTTCTTAGGCGTAATATCCATGATGGAATTAAACGAAAGAAACGCACTAATTACCTAAAATAACACAAAATAGTACAAAACAACACAAACTTAGTGGGAAATGTCGTAAAACACCCTCAAATAAAAGGCAGAGAAAGGTAATGTTATGTTTTCAATGCTTGGTCAGTTGTAAATGTGTGGATAGTGTTGCCAACTGTGAATATTGAAAAATGTCACATTGATTCCAGTAATTCGCACAATACTGTAGTATATTTCAGCTTTATCGAAAAGTATATGTAATGGCGTATCGTACAAAATTGACAACTATAACGATTCTTTTGTGAATGAACGCATGTCGTAGCTAAACCCTTAAAATAAACAACCATATTTTAAGATGTGTTTATACATGTTAAAACCAAAAGTGGGTTTTAATTGTAAGTCCATTTTTTTGTATCGAGATTATCATTCTGTGCCACTAAGAATCTGAGAATCTTGTGTGTTATGTTGGTCAGACTATCGGAAGATAACTTAAAAAAATCTTGATTTGGGGAACGATATTGTCTTCTGCGAACCTCATGTGACTGCAGTCCTGAATTGTACTTTTTAGCAATTCAACTGTAGCTTTATCTCTTCAACACAGCAGCATCGGGCCTGGTCTAAACTGTGGATTGCTGAATTTAGTCTTTAGATGTGCCTTTGAATTCATTTTCAATTTTTTGTACAGAATCATTCCCTTTATGACTACTGAGTGTTCAACTGAAAGAGAAGTCTGGACAGTTATATGCATAATAATATTAACTATTATGTTAAAAACTTATAATAATACATTTTTATCTATATCATTTTTCGTATACAAGTAAATCTATTTTTTCTTTGACCATAGAAGCTTTTAAATAATAGATTTCTAGAGGAATATTCTTGATAAATAATGTGCACATTAATTAAGTATGTGTCCTTCTTATTGTTCGAAGATATGAATCTTAAAGAAGGAGCGTAAAACATGCTGCGAGAAAGCATCGTTACAGAAAGTAACCGAAGTCATCCAGCAGTATATTGTCTAGTTACTTGGAACAAACCAGGAACTGATATTGTAGCAGAGGTAAAGAGTCCTGACTTTGATAGTTGGACCATGTTCAATAAATAGATCGAAAACAGACAGGGACGATGATTTTCATTGATCAGTCTTATTTACGGAGACTGCAAAGATGGTCTTGGGTGATATGAATCCAGGACATTGAGGATAATTTACGTGAACTTAAGTGAGAAGGCATAATATTGCTCTTGAAGTAGATGGAGCTATACTGTTGTTGATTGGTGATTGAAAAAATGAATAATAATCAATGAATATTATTGGAGGTTAAGAGATTCATATTTGGATGATTGGTGCATGTCCAACAGTATGTCGGTAAAATATCGTGTCTATTAGTCAGTCTAATAGACGTAAACATTAAGGAATACCTTCACTGAGATGACTTCAGAACGCTGAGGATATTTAACGTGGTCTTAGAGACTGAATTTCGCTTTCGAGAACATCAATTATTGTATATCTTCGCTCTACTGATTCATACTTTCCCTCTTACTTATACTACTTACTCATTTTCCTTTACTCTCCTATTCTTAGTATCTACTTGCTTATTTTGGAGAATTATTTTCAAAGTTACTCATTATTCTCGTTTTTAAATATGCCTGCAATATTTTATATATTTATAGTATGTAATTTAAAATATGTTATTTTTTTTGTTTGATTTTTATGCATCTTTTTATAGTTTAACATTAACACTGTTTTTGTTGTATCGCTATTAATCATTTTATTTTAGAATGGCGATTTAGTGAACGGGGATTATTGCTATAATGTGAATGTTAGAAACTTGGTAAGATATATTTAATTTATAGATATGCAAAATTTTGCTACGAAATATGTTGCTACGAGGTGGCACGAAATACTAGCGTAAATAAACTCATCCGCTGTCTCAGCTCTGAGTTTTTTCATATCCATTCTAAAATAATTCACTTTTCCATTTTTATGAACAATTATTCTGTATTTTTTCGGGCAACTAAAATGTTTATCCTTTTAACACCGTTAAGCAGAAACACTGGATAACAGTTGAAACCCTTAAAATAATTGAGAATAGAACAAATATATATCAAAGTGGTGTACATAGTGAAAAAGGAAAAGCTAGTGTTAGAAAACTCAATCAAGAAATATAACTAAGATGCAATGTTGATAAACAATACTATCGTAATATATGTTGAGAATTTTAGAACCACGATCAAAACAATCAGCCAAGAGATGTATTTAGAAAAATTCGCTACATAAAACAACAGTCTTTAAAGCCGAAACTTCGTTGAAGACCACATATGAACTCTGAGAACCAACAGAGAACATATAGCAGAGACATGGATATTATATTGCCTATATACATATAGCAGAGACAGGGATCTATATAACAATGCTCAACACCAGAACTTTTTCACCAAACCCTTGAAGAAATCAAAGACGCACCTAATATAGTCCAGAATGAAATAAGACTGGCGATCAGTAAACTAAGTATAACAAAGCACCAGGTCAGGTCCATATATAATAATAGCAGAAATGTTTAAAGCCACAGAAGAAACCGGAATAAAATTACTTGACTTGCTCTATAACAAAATATGGCATTCCAAGCAATGGCCTGACTACTGGAAAAAATGTACAATAACAACGACAATACATAAAAAAGGTAGCTTCCATAAATGTAATAATTATAGAACCATCTCTCTTATCCCACATGTCAGCAAGATAATGCTACACCTAATCAATCAGGGACTGAAAACTTTCCTACAGAGAAATATCCCAAGAGCAAACTAGACTTACCAAAGGAAGGAACACCTTCTGAACATCAAAATAATAGAAGAAGCTAAGGAGTTCAATATCTTACTATACATCTGTTTTATAGATTATCGCAAAGCATTCGACAGGGTCAAATGGCAAACTTATGACAGATATTAAAAGAAATAGGCATACCACAACACTTAATTTCGCTTATAACTGAGCTATACGAACACAATACTGGAACAGTTTAAGTGCTTGACACACTTTGAAACGAATTCCATTCAGAACAAGGTGTCAGACAAGGATGTATACTGTCTCTACAATTATTTAATATATATGGTAATATATTATGAGAAGAGCGCTTAAAGGATGAGAAAAGGACATCTCAATAAATCACTGAATTTTTGTAACAACCTACGTTTGGCAGATGACACGGAGCCCTTCTTATAAATACTCAAGAAGAATGATTTTTCTTCGACGAGTGAAAACAAAAGTCAAAAATTTGGTCTGTAGTTTTACATATCTAAGGCAAAGATCATGGTAGTGAATAAACTACATAACAATCATCCACACGTAACCACAATTGGTCAGTTGGAGGTGGTGAGTTCATACTTATATACAGGATCATTAATCACAAACCGAGGATCACTACACACGAAAAATACTGACAAATGAATGTGAATCTTGCACCCTAGTACAAATGGAATGAAGAAAGATAGACACCACTGAAATGTTCTGTTGGAGAAGAATGTTATGAATTCCGTGGACCGACAACCGGACAAGTAAGTTAATTTTTAATGAACCAGCAAAGTCCATCTCCAACAATACTTTGGACATGTTTTGACATCAGACACAGAAAACTTGAAAAGACTTATTATCCAAGGAAAGGTAAAAGGTCGAAAATCACGAGGAAGATCCCCAACAAGATGGATAGACCAAATTACAGGAATGAAGACAGAGAGAGAGAAAAATTAAATTTTAAAGTTAGTAAAGTTCTTGCAATGGGCCATCAAAAAAATCTTGATAACATGACATATTAACATGAAAGTATGTCTAAAATGTTTAACGAAATTAAAAAAAACTGTATGCAGTACAGAAAAATCATGAAAAACTATGGACTGTTCCAAATTCTTTGCAATTATTCAGGGAGTATTGTATCATCGGCAGATTTTGAAGTAAGCGACTATTTACAGCTGAAAATATGAATCCATATAGCATTTTATTGAAAAAATATATTTCAGTAGTAACCCATTAAACAAATTTTTCTAATGATCAATGCCGAGTGACCTTTACGGCACTTTGACTCATAATGTCCTCAATGTTTTCATGAGCTTTTTTATTCTTAGATATTATTTATTTTTTATTTTAAGAATATAGTTTTCTCTTACAAAAAACTTATAAGTACATTAAAATCAATATATCAAACTTTACCATGCATCTCAAAACCTTCATGCATGCATGTAGTGAAATTTTGCATACAGTATTAGCATTAGACCAGTAGATATATTTTTTGCATTTGATTTTTGTAATTTTGCATGATTCGCTTGATACTGCTTGTTCGGTTGACTCAGTGTAGAAGTTTTGGAGACTTAACAAAAATCCCCGACGACACTAGAAGCAAACCATCACCTATAAGGAATACTGGGGTAAGCATTTCTTTATTTAGCATTGCTTTTAGAATGATAATTTTTTCTCTACCTTTTCAAACTCAAAATGCGTATTCGCAAAAGTCGTTTTTACGAATTTGTATTTCATATTTCCTGGGTTCCCCATGATTGTAATCAGGAAAAAACTTGGCGAAAATATCCCGACATTTTAAGTATTAGTTTTACCTAAACATATACATTGTTTTGATTGTTTATTGCAACCATTCAAATTTTGATAATTATTTGCACCTATGAGTTAAAGTACATTCATCTCGCCAGGGCTCTCGAAGGAAATATAGTTGATGCTAATTTAATTATTATTAATTCTCGTAATAGTTCATTATTTGTTTAATTCGCAACAGGATATAATATTTAGTTTACTCCCAAGATATAGTTTTCCTCGAAAAATACCTCAATTTGATTTATTTTGAAGTCTATAAAATGTGGAAAATCCCCAAAACCCGTAAACAGTCAGTTTTTCGGGTTTTTGAAGGTGGTACACCTTATGGAAAAGCTAAAAAAATCAAAAATCTATTTTTTGATGAAGTACACAAAATAAGAAAAAAAAAAATTTGCACTCAGCTCCAAAAAAAAAGTTCTACACTTTTTTCGAAAAAAAATGCATTTTTAGGTTATGTATGCCCAACCTACAGGTCTACAAAAAGTAGACACATTTTGTAGATGCCTCAACGGTTGAGTTTACCGAAGGTACAAGCTGATTATAGCCGCAAATGTCAAACAAGGAACAAAAAATTTCGTTATAGCAGTATTGGCATGTTTTTATAATGTACATTTTGTTTATATTATGATAAGTATTTTGCAATTTTTGATGTATATAAAACAATAATGAGTAAATATTTGTTTCTTTGGAAATAAATTGCAGTTAATTATTAGAAAATTTTTTTAGCAGTTACCCTTTGGTAGATTAGGGGATAGATTTGGCAATCGTCAAATTAGCAGTTGCCAGATTACAACAGATGTTTGCAATTAATCTTAAAAGAGACAAATATCTACTCGTTACTGCTTCATATAAATTAAAAATTGCAGAATTCAGAAAATAGTATAATCAAAATGTACTTTTTAAAAGCTTTATGTCTTTATATTTGAAGCATACAATATATGCATTATAAAAACATGCCAACACTGTCAAGCCGAAATATTTTTGACATATGCGGCTATATTCAGCTTGTACTTTCGGTAAACTCAACCGCCTCAACTATGCGTGTGAATTTGTAGAAATTTTTAAATTGATTTTAACCCATCAAAAAAAAAAAATAATAAAAACGAACAAATGATGTTTTCGTTGGTGGGGAGTGGAGTGGTAGGCTAAAATTGGGCTGAATCTTTTGCTCAAATAGAACATAAAAAATAATGAAAAAAATTGAATTCTGGGAGTCGGAGCATTTTGCCTATCTTAACAGCGGGTACCCTTAAAGAGAGTGGTTTGATTGTAACTCTAATCAATCATTCCGTGCAGCTGTATACCAGATAGTCGTACCAATTACTGGAATCACATCGAAAAATAAAATAAAATATTAGAAAACGATAACATTAAGGAAAGCTGGAAAAAACTCAAAAATAACATAATTAACGCACCAGCACAATCACTTGGAGAAAGGAAAGTAACGAGTACTAATGTATCAAAAAAGAAAACCTCATAGTTTAGAGAGGAAGTGAGGACAAAATGTGAAGTGAATAAAGAAAACGTTTTTACAATACAGAACACAACAAACGCAGCAGGCATACAACCACTATAAATGAATCAGAAATGAAACGAATACTTTAGTTAGACAAATAAAAAGGCATGTCATCTCAATATTTCCGCCAGACCGGGAGCCATTCTGTCTCCGGCTTCTATATAACATGTAGCTTCTCCTTTTTTTTTTTAAATTTTAAAGTGTTTGTTTGTCTTTGTGTATTGTATTGTTATGTCCAAATTTACATGTATGACATTCTGCTCATGTCGGATAGGCCACAACTGACGAAATGCCCCTGAGGATGATCTATTGATCGAAATTACTTGGGCAAGATTTAATTAATTACTGTGTTCGATATTTGCCTTATATACCATCAAAGTTTAAATAAAAAGGGATCACTGGTAGAGCTTCTTAAAACAGATGAAACACGACCTCTATGAAACACAACAAGAAATATGGAAAATGTTTATAGGACAAAGACAAGAGATGAACGAACTAGTAAAAACGAATCACATTCAGAAGGAAACATGGGCAGACTACTTTCGATCCCTATTTAATTGAAGATAATGAACCATCAATACCAGAGGTGACGACAAACTGAGAAATAAATATTGAGGAGGAAGAGGCAAAGGAAATTAAGGAAACATGTCTGTCTTCAAAAAGGGAGACAAATCGGACCCGAAAAATTACAAAGGAATTAATATATTAAACCCAATACTAAAATTGACAACCAAAGTAATAACAAATAAATTAAATGAAATTATAACACTAGCAGAAGAACAACAAGGGTTATGTCGAGAAGATCATGCACCGAAGCCATGTTTATAATGAAGCAAGTGCACGAGAAATCATTAGAATACAATAAACCGGTATATGTATGTTTTGTGGATTTTAAGAACGCATTTGATCAGAGAGGACTAATAAAAACGATCGAAAATATCTACCAAAACAACACAATAAAATTAAAAGTATACAGAAAAATTCCCTAAGTCCCCTATTCTTCAACCTGATCGTGGATGAAATAATAAAAAAAGTAAGAACTAAAAAGGGGAATACCAATTGAGAGAAAAACAAAATAATCTGCTATGCAGACGATGCAATATTACTCTCTCAGAGTGAAGATGATCTACAACGTATGCTGCACCAATTTAGTATAACCACCAGAAAATTTAACATGGTGATTTTCTCAAGAAAGACAAAATGCATGCTTATAACAGCAAATTTACTAAGATGTAAATTGGAGCTAGAAGCTCAGATAATAGAACAAGTGAAGGAGTTTAAATATTTAGCCATTACATCATCTAGCTACGGACACCTGGAAACGGAAATGGAAGATCAAGTGACTAGAGCAAACAGAACCGCAGGTTGCCTGAATGAAACACTATGGAGAAATGAAAATATCGGAAAAGAAATGAAAGGCAGAATTTACAAAACAATCATCAGACCAATAATGACATACGCGGTAGAAATACGACCTGACACATAGAGGACAAAAAAGATGTTAAAAACAGCAGAGATGAAAACACTCAAAAAAATTAATAGTAAAACACTATGTAGAAGTACAGATATATGACGTAGGTGAAAAGTGGAGAACCTCAAGGACTGGGTCAGAAATAGAAGAGTAGAATCAACGATCATATAAGCCGAATGACATATGTTCAGAAATTAATGTTGGATTTTTTTGTCCAATAATATATGTAAATTAGAAAGATCATTTGTTGGTATGTTGAAACTATTTATTGTTTAATATCATTTAAACATTTCTTACTACCTAACCTGATGTCAAGTGTTCTTTCTTAAACGATATTGAAATTTACATTCTTTATCTTGCTTATTAGTTTTTACTTCAGAATTTCTTGGGATGTAAAATGATTTTGATTCGAAAAATGGTTGATAAGGATTCTTCAAAAGATATTTGTTACTGTTTTCTAGGTTACTAGATGCTTTTAGTAAATTTTGACCCCTTTTCGATAGCTCTTTCGGATGAATAATTTTGTGTTCAGCTGAACTTCTTACTTTATAGTCCACCAGTGGTAGCGAACTGACTTTGAGTTCTTTACTACTGTTATTACTACGGCGAGATATTTTATGATAGTATGGCACATCATTGATGCTGTTTCTACTGCTGAGGTAACTACTTTTGTCACTATCAGAACCTTTACTACTATTTTTAGACCTTCTACCTGTCGAGAAAGTATTTGTAGCTTTTGAAGCATCTTCAATGCACACTTTTCTGGATACTTTAGGTTTGACAATTTGATTAGAACTGTTGTTTCTAATTTCGTCGCTAAAATGTTCTCGTTTAAGGATTTTTTTCTTAATTAAACTGTCAACATTTGCATTAACCTTGTCGTCTCCAGTGCTTTTGCTTACGCTTTCATCCCATACTAGCTTTTCTTTAATGTCGTCGAAATAACAATGTCTCAGCAACCGTTTGACATTAATTCTTTTCTCCCAGTCGTACTCTACCATTAGATTCATGATATTTCGTCCATTTCTAGATATATAAGGCAGTAGATTGTAGAAACCTGTACCTTTAATTTTTGGAAAACATATAAAATTTCTCGACCTTGACTTCAGTCTCGCAATTAACTGGAGGCTTGGTGATCCTAGTATGTGATGTATTTTGCACAGTTGATCAATTTCGTTACTGCCTGGAAATAGAGGCCGCAAGGTCAGCATTTCGAAGAAGACACAACCAGTGGCCCACACATCCATCTTGGGACCATAATTACCAACAGTGAGGAGACATTCTGGTGATCTATACCATCTGGTGGATATATACTCTGTATATGGAGGAGAGCTGAAAATTCCTCTGACAGATCCCAAATCGCCTACCTTAACTATTTCTTCTGAACTAGTTTGAGACAGTGGAGCGTAGAGGATAGATGGAAACTTAATAAGAATGTTTTCAGGTTTTATGTCTCTGTGAAATAATCCGTGTTTGTGGAGGTGCTCAATTCCTTTCAGTATTTGATACAAATAGAACTTAACTCTATGTTCTGATAATCCCCTACGCTTTGTTTTAAGGTAATCATGCATACTCATATCCATAAGTTCAAAGATGAACGTCAGTTTCCCCGTGTATATGTCATAGTGGTACTCTAACATGTTGACAACATTGGAATGACTCGGTATCTTCTGCGCAGCAACTATCTCTGCGCATGCCTGTATACTTGCCTCAGATCGATATGTGTTTTTGAGCCTCTTTGCTGCATAACATACTTTTGTTTCTCTATTTTCACATTTTAGAACGTCCGAAAATGAGCCCTCGCCTATTTTTTCTAGCACTTTATATTTGGACTGGAAATGGTTCATGGCCCAAAAGACAAATAATAAATTTAACCACTTGACATATTATTTTTGGTGCGTCAATGTCAAACAAATATGTGTTCGTTCACAAATTTCTTCTTTTTTGTATTTGATGTCAATAAGAAGTTATGTTCCTTTAGTTACTGATGAGGAACCTACAAAAAAATACTATTTCTGGGTCTTTGTGTTTGTTATTTAATTATATTTCTGGTTACTGCTAATCTGGCTCTGATTTGCAAATTTAGTTCTCAATTTATAAGTTTCTATTATTAGTGTATAGTTTTCTGTGTTGCCTGTTTCAACAATGTTACATATATTACATGAATGAATAAGATTATATTTGAATAGGGTTATAAATAAAAATGAACGGACTAGTAAATATTTGACAGTCGGAATATTTGGACATGAAAATAAGAATTGAGTATAAAATATAATTATAATTTTCTTATAATGTGATGAATATTTACTTATCCTACTATTTTAAAATTCATTTGTCTTAATTGTTTAAGATCATTATTTATGCGTTTAGGCTTGCTAATGGGGTTAATTTTTTTACAGCCAATGATTTTAAGTATTGTATACATTAGTTCCTCTAACCATGCTGATTCGTAAGCTGTTGTATGCTCTATGAAGACACCATCAGTCTTTTGTGGGCTAAACGAAGAGGCTATAAAAAATTAATTCATATAATTAATTTTTATAACCTCTTTATAAGCTTTTTTAAAAACGTTGTTAAGTTAGTTAAAAACATTAAGGGCTAAGTCAAAGCAGAAAAGTCTTTAATAAAACTTTTGGCAACCAAATTGTTGGAAATTGTTTAAATAGAAATGTTGTAATCAAATAGTACTTCTGGTTTTACCAGAATCCACCGACACTTCAGGTTCCAATCCTTCGAAGGCCCTTTCAGCTACAGCCTCAAGCCACAGCTTCTTTCATGTAGAGGTTAAAGCCCTTGCTATAACACCTAGCTAGGCCTGATCAATAATTCTTAGGTATATCACGATGTTCAAGTGGTCCTTCCAGAACTCTCGAAGGGTAAGGTTTGTGTTGGTATTACTAGTATACTATTACTATAGTATACAAGTATACTATTGTCGTTGACAATAATAGGAGACTTTCTTGGAACCAATCTTATCAAGTTGGCCCAGTCTCTAGGGATATCAATATTGGCAGTAGTTACTCTCCTTGTTTTTTCTATGGCTGCATGAATCGAATCAGCTTCCATATGGGTGTGTCCTGGAACCAAAAACTTATGTGTTATTGTCACATGTCGTCCTTCATTCCGGAAGTGTTCAATACTAAGCAGGAACATTACAGCAAGATATATGTTTTTGTTTTGGCCTGGGCAACAGTCACTTTAAAAAATAATTTCTCTAATGCTCTCGGGAAGATTTTTCAAGTAAGCAAATATACAAGATGCAATTTCTTGACCACCACGGTTTGCAAGAGTTTCATTCCATAAGTAACAAATGGCTGAGTTGCTTGTAGTATTCGATTTAAAAAGAGTTAAGTTCAACGTCCATAGTTTCCTTTTGTAGAAGGAGTAGTTGTTTTTTAGTAACGATGTAGGGAGACATTTTTGGAGGTCAAAGCTAACCACAGCTAAACCTGGGTTATCCTTACATCTGTTCCTGTCACACTTTTTTTCTTCATATGCTATGCTAGCTACATGCAAATATTGCTTTTTTTCATCTTCTACCTTACATCTTTCTATTTCACTAGCAGTCTTAATGAGGTGGTTAAATTTGTCACATTTACCGCAAGTATCGTTGCTTGGCTTGTGAAAAGATAAATTAAATTCCTCCACAAAAATCTTTCTGTAAATTGATGAACTTTTGGGCTCAATTTTATCATCAATACAGTTTTGTACATAAAGGCGATACATCTGTGATATTGAAAGATCGGATGATAGATAAAGCTTTTTAGTATGAGATCGTGAGTAGTGACTCTGATATGTCGGGAACATATTGATGTGGGCCTTAATTCGTTCTTTATCTTCAGATGATATTAGTGGGTGGTTCGTATGCTTTCCTCGTTGATCCGCCATACATATTACTGACTCACTATTCCTTTTTTTCTCAACAAGTACCCGTACCTTCTTTTCAGTTAAATCGAGAGAGCTTAGATACATTGTTTTACATACTTCTATTCTGCTGTTATGGCCTTTGGTGAAAAAATACCTTCTAGAGTACTTTCTTCTACTCTCTTCTGTTGATTTTCTCCGCTCAACCTTCTTTATTACCTCCTCGATATTATTTGCAATATATTGGTTTTGCGCTTCAGCTGAGAGTTCATAGCAACTCTCAAAGATAGATAATCTTTCTTCTTCAGTAAACTTTTCATTACATTTTCGCCGACATTTGCAAGATTCTTTTATGTGCTTGGCAGGAACAAGATTACCTTTTGATGAATAATACTCTTTTCCTGCAGCTTTAAGACTCTTCCTTATATGTTTTTCCCACTTTTCTGGCTGTCTTTTTCGTTTTCTTGTTAATTGGCCTTCATCTTGCTTTTTCCTTCCTCTACATTTCCTGGTCAAGGTATGTACCCTAATAACGTCTGCAGTCACATGGACTTCTGTTCGTTTACTGTACTTCTTTTTTCTCACCAAATGATCAGAACTCATATCAGAGTCAGATGAGTCGGAACTGGGAATGAATTCATCCGAGCTGCTTTGATTCACGTCATCATGCTCTTCTTGTGCGATATCAGAAACAGCTTTTGAACTGTGCGCTTCCATTACTTGAGGCTGCGTTGTACTGCATACTTCCTCATAATTACATGGTAAATGCAGAATGGTGTCAGAGCCAGAGCAAGATGTTCTAGGTAACGAGCAACTTGGATTCCAAAGATTAGAGCTGTTTGTCTCAGATTTACCTGAAAAGAATAACAAAAATCAATCTCAAGTTCTAACAGCTGGGGTTAAGTGGGTCTGATGACACCAGTTATCGAAAGCTGATATACATGTATCTGTATACCCTAACTAAATGACATGATTTAATACATAATGTATCTTCTCCGCAAAATGATGGTATACATAAACTGTATCGCGACACTATTCATAACAATTAAATTTTAATTAAATACACTGAACAGTAACAGGTTATTTGTAACAATAACATGTGTTAAAAACAATTATAACAGCCCGTTAACACATAGTCGTCAGCCACTACTGTACTGCATTTCTATGAATACTAACTAAAATGAATAAAAAAATCCATAACGTAGTTTTACAAAATCGATCGATGCCGATTAGGAGACATAACCTCAAAAAATGTTATCTTAAAGAAAGTTATCAATAAACTTACCTTTTTCTTGAATATTCAGCTCTCTACCGAGTTGGACAATCCTTTTACATCGATCAGACATAGTTTTAAACACTTAATACACGTCACTTGATGAGTTCAGCTACAGTGAATTTTGGGCAAACCAAGCGTTGTTCACTCGATTACTTGGCCGGTGTCAACAGAGTAGGAAAATATTTTTCGTTAGAAGGGCCGATGTAGACTTAGGCCGTTGTACAATGAAACGACCTCTTTAACCCCAGGCCTATGTCTACTGTGGCCGTTTTTATAAAAAATGAAACATTCTAGTAATTTACATTGGCCTTGGTGGAATTTCCATAAAGTGCTTATGACAGTCCATAGACTTACGACCTTTCTACACAATAAAGTATTCATCTTTCTCAGTAAGAATCAGGGCCAAACTCAATTTAGAAGAATTTTGACATTGGCCCTTTTAGAACCAAGCCACAGATATATATATATATAATATATATATATATATATATATATATATATATATATATATATATATATATATATATAACATGTGTTATGTTTGGGATGTTTATAAAATATAAATACAGTTTATATGTGTCGATATCTTCAATGATTACTTATATTAAAAGTTACCCAGTATTTTTTTGACATTTTATCAAATAATTGACCTTTAAGTTTGAAAAGGTAGTTAGAAATTTGCATTTTTTTGTTTAACGGATTAAATATGATAGAAAAAAAAACTTAATATAAACAATAATATAAGACTAGCTATAAAAACAATTTTATTTATTGTTTCTTGTACTCCATCCTTTTATTTTTAACAAGCAGTATCGCATAATTTATTATTTTTACTAACGTCTGCAATAAATCCTGAAGGATTTCCTGAATTTTCCTGAAATTATTTTGATGCCAAAATGATTAAGGTCAAATTTGAGGTACGATCCGTTACACTGTACAGATTTGTGTACAGGCAATTTTGTTAATTAAGCTGTCAGAGCTATTCGACTTGATTGGCATATTTCCCGTAACGCATATGATTTCATTATACGAGTAGCATGAAGTTTGAAATTGTTGTACAATTCATGAAATTCCTGAAAATGCAATAAATAGATAATATATAATAAAATAGATTATAAAGATAGTTGTATAATGGTTCTTATGTTCTGAAGATAAAACATATGTCTTGAAAATCAGTTTGACCAGATTACCACGAATAAAAAGAGTGGCAAACCAAATTTTCTATCTCAGCACTTTGATACTGACATTAACTGCTATCAATGAAAAATACTGAGAATATACATGATGCTATTAAAGCAAAAACTAGAAATCTTGTGCAATGAAAGAGTGGAAAGAGAATGATCATTGAATCATCAGAGAATACGACATGAAAATGTCCGTATTTGCAAGCCTTTTTATAAGAGTCTAATATCTTATCTAGGAAGATCTGGAGCGAAAACAAAAAAAAATGACTTAATGCTCTAATTGTTTAGATCAACTCTAAATGTGTGGTCATTGTCTCAAAAACGTACATACTTAATATTTTTGTTATTTTGTTACTGTTTTGTATTGGAGGATAAATAATCCAAGAATTTTGCAGTCCTTGTAAGTACGGCAGAATATTATGCCCAAAAAAAAGGAGGAACTAGAAACTTATATATGCACTCATATATAAGTTGCCTCCCAAATAATCGGAACATTTTTGAATATTTTTATTTCATAGTGCATTGGAAACAAATCAAATACAAAGCAGTCGCTAACTTCTTCAGGATTTCGGAAGAGCGAGAGCAAAAGTTTTCTTAATCATCTGCTAACCTTGGGATTTTGGCAAAAATCTTCTTAATCATCTGCTAACAGCCGAACATTTTAAACACCTAAGTGACAATGCTGTCAGGAAATTAACATATATACCGAACATATAATTAGAGCTTTTCTTGAAGATCGCCCTGAAGGTGTCAGAGTCAACGGAATCGTCATTAACAATATAAGATATGCCGATGACACCGTAGAATTAGCAGAAACAAAAGACCAACTAAAAATATTGATAAAAATATTATCAGAAGAAAGTCACAGGCTGGGCTTAGATATTAACTTTTCCAAAACCAAAATTCTGGTATTCCACAAAAACCCCCATGAACAAGTTACACCTAACATACAAATTAATGGTATCACCCTTCAGAGTTCCCAACGCTTCATATACCTGGGCAAAGAGCTAAATAGTGAACTAGACCATTCAAAAAAATTAGAAGACGCATTGAAATAGCAAGATCTGGTTTCATGAATATGCGTAAAATGCTCTGTAACCCCAAGCTATCAGTCTCAATAAGACTGAGAACACTAAGGTAATATATGTGGCCTCTATTACTATATGGCTGTGAGAACTGGACATTTAAAAAGTATGACGTCAACAAATTAAATTCATTTGAAATGTGGGTGAACCGCCGAATGTTAAGAATAAGCTGAACTAGCAGAACTACGAATGAAGAAGTACTGAGAGTAATGAACACACGCCCTCAGCTGGTCAATACTATCAAAATTAGAAAGACGTCATATTTAGGATACATAATGCACCATAGGGAATTTGAGCAGCTCCAGGTAATATAGAAGGCAAGATTTATAGTAAAAGGGGCATAGGACGAAAGAAAAGATCTTTGCATCAGAGATTGGACCCACACAATAGGAAATGAATTAAGTCATCAAGTCCAGAACAGAGTAAAATTTGCCATATTGATCACCAACCTCAACAGAGAAGGCACTTAGGAGGAGGAAGAACCTTGATTGCCCAGGTCAGTACTGAATTAGTAGGAACTCAATTATTTACCACTAATAACTGCTTTGGGTCTGGGTCTAAAAAAACCAGAGGCAGACCTCCTATGAGATGGACAGATGATCTGAAAAGGACTGCCGGGAAAAATTGGTTACAAGTAGCGTACAATAAAAAACAATGGAAAGGAAGACTTGAAGAGGCTTATGTTCAGATGTGGACGTGAATGGCTAGACGAAGAAGAAGAATAAATGCTTTACTATGTCACTCAAAGGATAGATCCGTGGTTAAAAAACTTAAACGAATAACACAGAGATAAATTGAACTAAAATGTGAACTGAACAAAATGTATAGATGCCATAATATAATAATTTATTTGCAATTCATAATTTAGTACATTCAGCAATATTTGAAAAATCTTAATTTCTTAATGCTCGCTGAACATTAAGTATTTTTACCGCAAACAGAAGAGTTAAAGTAGTTAAGAGCTGTTAAAACTGAATTTACCTATCGAGTACTGAGTTAATACCTGATGACTATTACATTGATTAATCCATAGTTTTAGAAGTTTTTCCTTAACAGCACTTTATTAGACTAGTAAGCTTCGCTTTTGCGGCGAATATAACGCTTTTAGTATAAAAAACATAATTTTTTCCCCAAATGTTTTTTTTTAATTTTTGCATGTAATATTTTTTGCTTGTTTTGTAGCGATCTAAGTCTTTATCGGATGTCTTGCTTTCATCTAACAAAAAAAATATCGAGAATGTTTTCTCGGAAGTATCTGTACGGGCGCTGGTAAGCATTTATGATTTCTATTTGACAATTTCGATTTTTTTTATTTAAACAATTAAGTTCTTCATAATGTCACCAAATATCTCAGTGGTGAAGTAATGAAAATAAAACAATTAAGCAGAATATCATTTTAAATACAGAACTAAGGCAAATAATTCATACGTGGGCAGAGAGAAAGGTTTTTAGTTTACCTTTAAGATAATAATACTTGAAATGCTAGTAAATGTCACTCTTTTTAGCTATAGTAATTTGTTTTATCCAATTGTTGAAAGTAAATATTATCAAGAACATAGCAATTTTAACAAAAGTGGGTAACGCTTTTAAAAGTATGCCGAACTTAGAATAGGAGCATAGTTTTAAAAAACTTTTACAAGAAGTGGAACCACAAAAAAAACTAACACAAAAATTAATCAAGATTTTCAAGAAAGACCTAAAATAAATATAGATATACAGAAAGTAAGACATATACACCCCGAATTATTACATTGTCGATCTCCAAAAAAACTGTTATAAATGTTAATATTGTTTGAGATATTTTTAGATTGAGGAAAAATACCAAATTAATGGGTAATGAATAATATACCATATCAGCTTAGTTTATATAAATGCCAAAAATAATTCCTACAAATTGATTCTGAAGTTTATCCGTAACAGCCCAGAACTGCAACCAGTTCCTTTAGCAACTGGCGAAGAACAACAAAATGACTTTGTTATAAATGCCAAGGGGTAAATAAATTGCTGGTAAAGAAAATGCTAATAGTCTTGCTTAAGTAGAAACGAGTACTACTTTTATCGAATCGAAGCCATTCTGTGGTATACCAAAAAGCCGCGAAAGGTTATTACAACCTTCTGTCCGGTACGCAAAAGTACTCTTGGAGCTTCAGAAGGCACAACTCATAGTAATCACAGGTGTTCTCACTTTGGGTACTACTCAATCAATCAAATACCATCTATGTAAAACGGGCAAAATGCAGAGAGTAACATGTAGATTCTGCAATAATTTAGATGAAACTGTCGAACATATTGTCTGCAACTGCAAGACTAAGTTTGTTAATGCTATAAATACCTAAACCATTTCGTTGTAGAAGCTGAGCAAACGTAACAATGAAACGGATAATATTCTAAAGATCTAAGAGGTTAAACAACCCTTTTTAAATCTACAGTTTCTAGGAAGTATACAAAAAATATTATCAGAAGTATAATTGCTAGTACAGTCAGATTAGACGAAAAAACGGCCTAGCCTTGCATGGCAAGCTGCCCCAAATTTTATTACTCTAACCTTTAGGGGCGGAGGAGATTCAACAGTAGTGTAAATTTAAAATCATGACTGAATCCCACCGTTGCATTAGCTGCGATCTTGATTTAAAGAAATATCGTTTTTGCTCAATGTCTCATTATTTTCCACTTTTGGTAAGGACTGAAATTGTTGCAAATGCGATTTCCTACAATTTCTTTCTTTCAATTTTTTTTGTGTATTCGATAATTTCCGAGTTAAGGGGGAAATGGTGGAGGGGGAAGCGTAATTATTAAATTATCTAGTTTATTGCCATTCGTGTCGTTAAATTAACGACATGAATGTACACAGACAAAAATGGAAAAAGTTATATTTTATACAAATTTGTTTCTTTCATTTAAAAACTTTTATTTTTTAGCTGAAATTAATATTTGAGGTCGTACGTCTGCGGTGAAGGCGCGAGCATAAGACCTTGCGGGGCTTGATTTTATAGGAATTTTTTTTATTCAATATCTCGACCAATTTCAACTTTTCGACAAAATTTTAAGGACTTTTTGTGGTATAATCAACATTTAATGATATTGACGACAATACAACAACTTGGGAACTAGAATCAATGAGTCGTGGAACAATACCCAATTTGCATCGGAAAGGCAAAAAGTGCATTCTTGACTATAAGCTCTGTGTTCAAGAGCCATGACCTCACCCTAAAAACAAAAATAAGGCTTAAATGTTACGTGTACTCAGTGCTTCTGTACGGAGTAGAAACGTCGGCATTGAATGCAGAAACTTCGGGCTTTTGATCTATGGTTATACAGAAGGATCTTGAAGATACCATGGACAGACAAAGTCACCAATGAAGAAATACTGCGGAGGATGAACATCGTGAGGAGCCGTAAGCTGGGACATATAATGAGAAATCAAGGCAGATATAAGCTACTTCAATGCTTTTTGCAAGGTAAAATTAAAGGAAAAAGGGCCCCAGGACGAAGAAAAATATCCTGGCTTGTTAACCTGGGAGCATGGTATAGAAAGACCTCAACACAGCTATTTCGTATAGCAAACAACAAAATCATCATAGCCAGAATGATCGCCAACGTTCGGAACGGACACACACTCTAAGAAGAAGACGCCTATGACAAGCCTAACGAGATAAAAGCGATTAATAAATGCTAGACGCTGATAAGTCAGCAGCAGGCCATAAAATGAACGAACCTACGACCTTAAATATTCTTCTACTTCCTTCTTGTATGTAAGCTTTAAAGCCTGTTTCTTCTTCAATATTAGCCTCCTTAATTGTTTAAATTATCGCACCATCTTTTTCTGGGTCTGCCAATACTTCTTCGTTCATTTGGTGACTTATCTCGTGCTATTCGTACTATCCTATCCTCTGCAATTCTACTAATGTGGTTCGTTCCACTCCTGGTTCCGTTTTGTCACCCATCCATTTATGTCTTCTATATTGCATACTCTTCTTATGTTTTCGCTTCTCTCCCTACCCAACACACTTTTCCCTGATATTTGTCGGGGTATTTTCATCTCTGTTGGTTTGGTTCAGTTTCTAGTAGTTGTCTCCTTTTAGATGTGTCAGGTCTTGTCTCCACCGTGTATGTTAATATAGGTCTAATTGCTGCTTTATAGATTCTTGTTTTTGTATTTTGTTTTAGGGGTTTGTTCCTCCAGACTGTGTCATTAAGAGATCCCGTCGCTTTACTTGCTTTTAAGCTTTGTTGTCGTACTTCTTCTTCACCATCTCCGTAACTAGTTATATCTATTCCCAGATATCTAAACCTTGCTTCCTGCTTTACTATTTTCTCATCATTTCGATTTTACATCGTAGTGGGTATTTAGATGTCATACATTTGGTTTTTTGTGCTAATATTATCATATTGTATTTCTTAGCTGTTGTATTGAAGATGTGTGTTAAGTTTTGGAGTTCGTCTTCTGTCTCGGCTATTATTGCTGCCTCGTCTGCATAACATAATATTTGGGTTTCTTTGTTCCCCATTCTGGAACTATGACCTTTACGTACTGCTTGTATTATTTCGTCTACTATTATATTAAAGAGAAGTGGGCTTAACGAGTCATCCTGTCTGACTCCGCTCTGTACTGGTATACACTGTGTTAGTTTTCCATTTATCTTTGCCTGTATTCGATTATGGAGGTAGATGTTTTCGATGGTTTGTATAATATTGATTGGTTTGTTTCGTTTATACAGTAGGTGTAAGATGTCTTCGACTTGGATGCGATCGAAAGCCTTTGTCAGCTCTATAAAACATAGATATGCTGGTTTATTGTACTCGATATCCCTTTTCTGTGATATATATTAGTACAAATACAGCTTCTACGCAGGATCTTCCGGATCTGAATCCTTGTTCATCTAATCTAAATCATGATTTTAGCAAAGAATGAAAGAGATCGAATATATATAAAATATAATTCTCTATTTTTGTTATGTACATTTATGTCGTAAGTTGATAAACAGATAATTCAATAATTACGCTTTGTCACTATCTTCCCCCTCAACTCGGAAAATATCGATCAGACGAAAAAATTTGTAAAAAAGAAATTCTCGAAAATCTTATTTACAACAATTTCAGTTTTTACCATTTTGGTCGAAAAGTCGGAGATATTGAGCAAAAGCTCTTCTCCTTTAAATTTAAGATGGCGGCTAACGCAACGGTGGGATTCAGTCGTGATTTTCATCAGAACAATTTGGAATAGCTAACCATGCAAGGTCAAATAACATCCCGACTGGATTACACAGACATATAGAATATTAGACAATCGAGTTGGAAAGGCAATAGAAATTATGCAAGTCTAAAAACAAATGCAGTGTGAGAGAGACTCCATAATCTATTTTTCCAACAATAAATGGATATTTTGTTACATTGTACAATTCCACCTCTGCGATATTTATGGGATTATAAAGCTTTTTTATGATTTATATGGAATAAAGAAAAATAATTAATACATAAGCATATTCAATTTCAAAGGGACGTAAATGTGGCAAATACGGATGGATTTTTTAGTCCTATCGTAATCTGTTAATGATATTTTACTATTTTATGTGGTAACTTTTGGGTTAAAATAGTAAAAATTCTTAGTTAAATTGTTGTGATTTCGTACAATTGAATCATAATTTATAATAAATTACTAATTTTTGCCTTGTTTAATTTTTCTTTAGTCCATTCGTACCATTTTATTTTTCTGTAGTGATATCGTTGGGAAACTTATTATTTTATTTGAAAAGTTTTAGAAGCTAACTTTATTTAATTTTTTGCATGGTATTTGCATGGCAAATCTAACAGAAAGAAAAATTTAACATCTTCGAGAACAAAGATCCTCTGGGTATAGTAAAACCTACCTTCAAAAATCCCGCAATGGTAAGTTAAATACATGTGGTGAATTAAAGAACGTTACGTCAAAAAAAAAAAATAGAACAAATATGAAAAGTCAGATAGATGAAATGTCATAACTGACAGGTGACATATATCTCGAAACAAACTTATAGGTTATATTATATACCAAAATAATAACAACTGAATCAAAAAGTATAGGCTTTTATGGCTGGTGTTTTGTAATGATACCTTAAATGTCGATTCAGACACATCAGTCATGTCTCGTCACAGTCCTGGCGCCGAACCGAACAATCCGTCATACAAAATATTCTTTAATAGAAATATGGCGTCGGCACTCATATTCATCAGGCGACGAACAGTTTGCCAGCTGTCATATAGTTGATAGTTCTGTGACCAAACAGGACCGGTTCGGCGTCGGGCTGTGACGGGACTGATGTGTCTGAATCGACCTTAATTCAGGAATTACTTGCTCTAAAAGTCAGCTGATAAATGATAAATATTTTTGAATATCGTTAAGATAAAACTCACGACCAAATTGACGATCAGATTTAGGCAGAAAGTTACTTCACAGTCTGATGTTTGAATATAACTAAGTAACTATACTTATTATAATTTTGGGCAAATTAACAGACCCATATTTTTTGATTTTGTTATTAGTTTATTAAAAATGTAGGTATTAAAGATTTGTTTACACAATAGCACAGAATAATTATTATGTGACAATAGTAAGTGCGAAATATTTAATGACATTTCGGATTCCAAGATTTATTCGATTTTTGTGATTATTGGTGTTAGAGCCCGTTCGCTTAGCTTGGAAATATTTTGACAGATTTATTGTCGGAAACATACAACACACAAATTTCTACCACTCACATAGCTCAAATAAACTTACTGTTACAGATTTCGTTTATTAAAAAAAGAAGAAGAATTATGAATAATGGGAGTGTATATTCATTATTTTTTATTACAAACTTTCCACCTGTAATTACTAATCTATAAACGACTATAAAATTTACAAAAATACATGTTTTATTGATGCAGTTTTATTTTGTTAATGTGAACAATTTTTTGCATGTGAACAATTTTTTGTTTTTAAATTACAATTAATATTGGCTATGAGAACCTGTGCATATAGTTGGGAGATAGTTGGGAGTTGGGAGAAAATTAAAAAAATAATGTGCTAAACTAATGATGCCACAAAATTCATTTGATTTGAACGTACTCAAAAGTTTGGGGGATTTAGGGCTGCACACCCCCCTTAAAATTTTTCTGTGCGCTTAGATTTTGCTGTTTCTTTTTTATGAAAAATGCTTTCAGAACAAGAAAGTAACGTGTCCATTTTTATTAGAAAATGGCAAGTAGTTTAGGAGATAATGCAAAAAAAACAATTTTTTTTTTTGTAACTTCAAAGGACTGTAACCTTTTTTGTGCACACTTTTGTACTAAGGTAAGTTAGATTCAATCAATTTATTTTTGTCCCCAGAATGCGTGATTTAATTTATGACATACCTTTATGACATGACTTTAGTGAGTAACTTTGTATGTTCGATCACTCACCCTTTTAAATGTAAATAATTTATACTCCTGATGTTTTTTTGAAACACCCAATATAAGTTGTTGCTTAAATGTATTTTTTCTTCTTCTTCTTACGGTGCCTTATCCTTAAGGATGTTGGCCATTACATTTGCCCATTTAATCTTATTTGTAGCAGCCCTGAATAGTTCTATGGAGGTCATGTTCGTGCATTGCCGTAGGTTTTTTAGCCAAGAGTTGCGTCTTCTTCCTGGTCCTCTTGTGGATGTATTTTTTAGATTTTAGATATTTTTATATTAAATATAATATATCATCATCATCATTTAACCCACGGTTGTCTATAATTCGCTGCTCTGTGTCATGTTGTACCGAATTGTTTTTTGTCATAGTTCCATAATACCACGGTGTAATTTTAGTGAATAATCTATTGCCAGTTCTGCTCGCTAAATGTCCCACCCACTGTCATTTTCGAAATTGGATTCTGTGGATTACATCATTGAGCTGAGTTTTCTGTCTTATCTATCATGTCATTAACCTTTGAGTCACTTCGAATTTCTCTGCCGCATATAATGTTTGGTAGTATACACTAATCAAATGCTGTTTTCTTCAGATGGAGGGGCATTCTGAATTTGAATATTACAGCGTTTTTACCAAAAGTTGCCCAAACCAATTTCATTCTCCCGTTGAATTCTGGGAGTAAGGGGCCAAATTTATGTATTAATCGTCTCCTGTTTAAGTGCAGTGTTGTTTATTATTACATCTTGGACATCCACTTGCCCATTCATTCTACATGGATTTTGTTTTTGGCCAAGTTCATTCTTAGGCGAATTTCGTTGCTAGCTGCATTTAGGTCGCTTATAAGTTTTTGTAGTTCCGCGGGATTAATAGCGATCAGAATGATGTAATCTTTAAACCTTCGATTACTAAGACTGATGACTTTGTCAATGGATAGGATTTTGTTTTGCCAGTTCATTTTGCTGCATATTATTTGTAGGGTTGCGGTGAAAAGCTTTGAGGATATTGCGTGTCCTTGTCGGACGCCTCGGTCGGTAGTGGGAAATTCTGGAGTGTTTTCAAAAATGTTTACTTTAACTTTTGTTTTTTTTTACTAGAGTCTATATGTATGGTTTGTCGATACCTTGGTAGGTCAAAGTTTCTAGTACTGCCTTGGGGTATACAAAATCGAAACACTTCCTGAATTCTATGAAGGTTAATGCTAGCAGTATTTCATATTCTGTAGCTCTACTTACTAGTTCTCGAAGAATATGGATATGATCCAGGGTACTGTATCCACTTCTAAAACCAGCTTGCTCTCTTGGCTGTGCAAGATCTGATGTGTTTGCTAATCTGTTGGTGATGATGAATATCCTCTTCGTTACCTTTCTTATGAACAAGAATTATGTTTGTTGTATTCCAGTCATCTGGTATGCATCTTGATCTCAATCGTAAATATACCTGCTAAGATTTCCCAGGTTTTTAGCTGTAGAACTTAATCTCGAATTTTATTATTTTATTTCTGTCTGTAATCCTGGTGTTTTCGTCTGTTAGAGCAACGATTTACTTTCTTTCAATTATTAATGCTGTTCTTATTTTCTTATAGCTGTTCCTGTTTTCGATTGCATTTTCTGCCAGTCTTTCCTATGTATATATTTTCCCTTATTGTCTTACAGACAGTTCTTCTGTATTGTATTTTCTGGATGTTGATACTTACTTTAATTTCCCTTTTCTGTCTTAGCATTATTCTGGTTTTATCAGATAGTTTCTTATGTTGATTTTGTTATTGAGGTTGTTGATTTCTTTAGCACTATCAAGGATGATTTACAATAATTAAAAGCTGTCGATTTGGTCATGTAATCTTTAATCGATTGTCCTTTGGTAGTGATCTGAGTTTTCTTTTAGATTGTTGATATTTCTAGCGGTTACTGTTGGCTTTGTGACTAATTTTATTCTTTATAGTTTTAGATCTAAAACAACATTTGCTCTGATTAGTCTATGGTCGCTGCCTGTTAAAAATGTATTAATTGCACTGACGTCTTTTACTGTAGCAATCCTGTTAGTTAGAATGAAGTTAATTTCGTTTTTAGTGGTGGTTCCATTTGGTGCTAAATAAGTCAATTCAGTAGACTGAATGTAATTGCAATAAGCAGGTTTTGATACTGTGCAAGCCTAACATGTCTTTCTTACCTTTTATTTCCCTCACTGGTTCCATACTTTCCCATGTTCCTTGCCGTTTCTCTTTCCAAATTTGGTATTAAAGTCACCAATTAGATATTTGAAGTGTTACTTTTGTTGTTTAATGCTTGAGTTATGATACAGTAGAGTTCCATTATTTCTTCGCCAGTGTGAGTAATCGTTGGGTCGTATGGGGCATATACTCTTTGTTTCAATTTCTTATTCATTAGGAATCCAATACCGCTTTTTTGCCCGTATAATATATAATAGGTTATATTAAAAACTAAAAAGTATATCAAGTAATGAAGCTAATTATCTGCCTGAATCTATATGAGTTGAGACTCAGTAACATTGTTTATGTTAAATATTACTTTATAATTTTATTAGGAAATGGAATACCACATAATTTCACTCTTAGTATTTTTTTGGCGAACAGTTTTTTAAATCACCATTTTATATATGGGTTAAAAATTTTTATTTGATTTTGATTTTTACTGTTTTTTTTTTTAATTATGGTATTAGAAATGGTTTAACGATTTTTATACTATTGGTAAAATGTTTTAGTTAGTGGTAAATTGATCGGAACCATTTTTTTCTCGTATGGAATAAAAAAAATGTTTGGGTTTTAAAATATATATATTTTAATTTTTTAGTGAGGAAAAATAGATCTTAGTCTAATCATATAATAGTATATAATATATTCCTGCACATCTAGTAGGTCTAGAAAGTATCAGAATTATATAGCTCAAGCACATCGCATATGATTTCAATGATTTTTATACCCAGTTCTTCCCAGGATAATTTCTTGAAGACATTGTTCAAATAATAATTAAATAGGTGGAGAGATTTGGTTTCCCAGGTAATCCATATCTTAGTTTGGATGGTTTAAGTCCTCCGGATACTTTTTTAGATGTATTGAAGACAGTATATGTTCGTAGGAACACGATATGTCATTTTTTGTATTTAAATCGGTAAACAACAGGATAATATTATTGTATTTTTATTAATTCTAATTTATTGTTTTTATTTCCCTTATTTTAATTCACTAAAACACGATAATTTATATAAATTTATTAAACCACTATACAACAATTTATTTTTGACTAATAATTACATAATTTATTTATAAAACGAGCGTTACATTTCAAACTCGGCGCGCTATTATCTTCTAACTGCCTGTTTTCTACAGAAAGGTTCCGTTATATACCCAATACATCTGTTGGAATTTCTGAATGCAATTTCTCGAAGCCCGTGAATGTTGACCTAAATTGTCTCGAACTGGTTTTTATAGCGGCCTGTTTCCAGAGGGTTCGATTGGTAGGGGACCGATCGTTTCAAATAGGTATTACCTGTAATTTCAACCAGCTGATAAAATCTAGAAGATAAAAGTGAATAAACAACATGTTTACAGGATTTTAATATGAGTCATATTTTTACGTAACAATATGTCCATTTCGATCTCGATTGAGCTCATCAGGCATGCGTATTTGTGTCAAAGTCTTGTTGGTCATTCGCTAGTTCAATTTCGATAGGAATTTTGTTGATTAAAATTTTTGTGGTCAGTTTCAGATCAATGCTAAGTAGATTTATAGATTTATGCCTCTGTAGTTTTTGGATCTGTAGTTTTCGGATATTTTTTGCGGCATTTTTAAATTGGGTCCGTAATACTAGTACTACACCGTAGCAGTCGTTGTTCAACGGCCAACATACTAGGCTTCTAAGCCAGAGTGCAAGAGTTCGATTCTCGGTACCAACAATGACATAATTCGTTACCGACCAATGGAGAATGTTGTATAATTTAAAACTCTAGAGACTTTTTGGTAATGAAGTGATGTTGAAAACCATCAAAATAAACTGCTTAAGATGGGTGGGCCACCTTATGCGGATGGATGAACGTGGTCCTGCTAAAATAACCATGCTAAATAGGCCAATCAGAAGAAGAAGAAATCGTCGACGATTTAAAAAAGATTGGAGTAAGTGAATGGAGAAGACAGACACTCGACAGGGAAGGATGAGAGAATATTTTGAGGCAGGCCAAGGCTCACGAAGTGCTGTAGCGCCAACTGATGATGATGATAATAGGTTATTTGATCTTAAGTGATTCTAATCTTTACTTCTAGGTTCTGCTAAACCTACTAAACTAGTTTTACATCTCGTTCAATTCTTGAAAGTTCTTCTCAAGTTCATAAATTTTTGTTCATAAGTCCATTGCTGTGCTGCGAGCTATTATAGGTTTAAATTATTTTAGTTTGTGCTCAGGATTTTGTCCTCTGAAGACCTTATTCAAGATGTCTAATTGAATATTATAGATATACGTTTAGATAGACAATAACAAAGAGCTAAAAGAATAAAAAGAAAAGTCCCATATACTTTCTAAACTTACTATAACTTAATGACCTTAACGTATGTTATTTCATAATATATTTTTATTTTAGAAGTCCAGCTTTAGTAAATTCGATGCCCTCCAAAAGAAGAATGTTCTTCACATCCGATCTTCTGATTCCGCCAAGGCTCAAGAGAAGTTTAACGTGAGTTATGTCTTCTATTATTTTCGCAATGTTTACTTTTTAGCCCAGATATGCCTAAATTTACTTTCAACTATTTTTTTCAAATTTACGCGTTATGTATGATAGTAAAAACATATTTATCGGTAAAACACAATATTTATGAAAAATAAGTAAAAAAAAACTGTACAAAGTATGTTATACCAGGCATATAAAGATCTCTATTCACATGCGGATATGTCCGATAGACAGATCCTCCAGCCAGATCCATAAGTGTGTATCGTATCCATGCGTACGCCTTATTTACGTCTTAAAGGTTGTTAAGCGCTTACTCGTATCGAACCTAACCCTACACTAACAATGTATACATTGTTAGTATGAGTATTTTCCGAAGTACAGAACCATTTTCCCACCTATAGAATTAATTTCCGTTAAAACTCAATCATTCATAAACTCCTTATATAAGTTTATAAACAAAGGCTTGACTTCAGCAGACTTCTTGTTAGACATCTTCTTGTTCTAAGGTACAGTTATTTTTTTTTAGACATTTTTTAGACATCTGTTACACTTTCGACATTTAGACACTCAATATTAAAATTCTCAGAAATTTCTGACCTCATACTCTCGAACTTCTTGTTGGCGATTATTCTGTGGAGCATATCGATTACTTTCTAACGTTATAAGCTTTATAAGTGCATCATCAAAGAAAAGTGAAAACCATTCAAGGGGATCTTAGAATCATGTTGTTCTGGAAGTTCTTCTACAGTGTTACATTGATCTTCTGTCTGAATGTCGTGTTGTACCCAACTCTGAGAATGGAATGTTATTTCGAGAATCGGATAAAAATGTGTCATTATCATTATTATGCACATTTATTTGAACAGAAGCTTTAGTTGCAAACCAGGCAAATTATTTATTTATATCTTCATTTTTAGAGTATTCTTCTGTTAAGACATCATATGCATTTAGTGAAGGCACCAAAGTAATACTGTCTACATTTGCTACTAAATGTTCATCAGTCTAATCTCATCCTAACATACTTAGCGCATCCTACAGGAGAAAGCCTCTAAAAATAAATAGATATTTTCCTAACGTATAAGATTGTGTACACTAAAATATCCTTTATTTATCTAGGGGCATTCGAGTCCAAAGGTTGGTACCAGAGTTAGCTGGTATCATCCGTATGTATGTCCCGTAAGTGAAATCCTATTACATGGACCTCATTTACCAATTTTTTTAAATTTAATATACTTATTTATATAAACATAAAATCTAAAGGTTTGTTTTACCTAAATATGTGGCTCGTTTTAACGAGATTTAAGATGTTTCACTGATGATAAACCGATCGGACCAAAAACGTTTTGAACAAATTCTAATTCTTTTGGATAATTTTAAAATTATTATGATAAATATATTCCTTCATACATAAGAAGTTTTTACTTCGTTGTAAGTGTTTTATAATTAATTGTTTGTTAAATTTAATTACGTTTTGTATCGTACACGATACGGTTAAAATTAGATCTATACGGCAATTTTATAGCATCGGTTGACGTCGACAATAAAATCGGTATAAATTTAATGGATCAACTAATCAAATTATTTACTGTAATTGTCCTCCTCCTTTCTCTCCTTCTTGCCACAACGTGGGTTGGTATTTCGGCTTGAACTACTTACGAAAAAATAGCAGTCCGACTAAAATACCGTCTCGTACATACCAATATCATGATTTTATTATCTTCTACTATATTTCTTGTTTGATGGATTTTGAATTCAGATATATTGTCAAAGGGATCAAGGCGTGTTAACTGTGTAAGGAAAACACGTGACCCAAGTGTGGAGTAATCCAAAAAACATGTATAAGTATATTACATTTTATGATATTGAAATTTGATTTAAATTTAAATGCAGTTACTGAGTTTATGAATCATTTCAATCAAGTCAATAAATAAAATTCACAAAACAAACAATAAAAATAATTTAATCATATTTTTTTAAATATCTCAATGATTTTAATTAGAGGACAGACGCCAAATTGTCCTACAGACGCCAAAATGTAAATCAGATGCTCAAATTTAATCTCAATCCTGAAATACCCTTGCCATTTAATAGGGTTTCATACATATAACAGAAATAAATGGAAATAAAATAAATGCCAAAATAGTCGATGCAATTACAATATAGTGATAAAATACATTGAAAAATTTTATTACACATATAAAACAAACCAAATAAAAATATCGCTATGTTCCTATCCTGACAATTGTAAACTGGGCAGTCATAAAGTAATTCGCTTTACTCAATGACCTATATTACTTTACATAACTTATAAAAACAAACAACTTTGTAAATTTAATTATTTACTGTTCCGTTTGAAAACTTTGTATCAGTGTAATATTGTTCTCTAATTGTTAATAAACCGATTAACTTCCAATTTCTTTCAATTCTAAAATTGACCCGGACACTCTCTTGTCAATTTGCTAGCTAAACTCCCTTCTTGGATCTGCTCCCAAAATGAATCTCGATCTCACATCCTAACCAAAACTCTTATTTCCTTTTGGATACTAAATTATCCTAGCTTAAACTTCTGCCGATGCAATGATAATTTATTGGTATTTACAAATATTGTTAGCATTAACTACCACACTTTTTTAAACACTTTCGAAAACAAAAACTACTTTCTAATTCATACAATTTAATTTTCTTCTACCGTTCAAATTCACCGGCATTCACTCTCTTTTTTTTTCTTCCGAAGTTATTCTTTTTACGAACAGGAACAGACTGTTTTTTATTAACCCTTTCACTCCTGTCGGGATATATATATCCCAACACATGATTGAAAAATTCTGAATGTTTTAAACTGGCTTAAAACTGCGTTGGGACGGGATATTTTAGTAGACTGTGGCATTTCTTATAACGTGAAATCGAGTATCCACCGTCAGCATCAAATTTTAACCTAAAATTTAGTGTAATATGAACACTTTGTGAGTACGATCATATAAAACTGTGTTGATAACATATTTCTGTTGGTGTAAGGATAATTTTGGTTGCTGATTTTTAATTATAAAAGATTAAGATAGGTGAGTACATAATTTAATATTGCCGCTCAGTACGAAATTTATCGTAATGGGCAATAAATCTTGAATGGGATTATATATCCCAACAGGTGTTTTTGCTGGGAAATATTATCCCGACAGGTATAAACAACTTCCTTTTTTTAGTATGGATCGAAAGAAACAGAAACTTACCGAAGATGAACTTGATTACATTGCTAATAACATTAATGAAATTGAAAGTATATACTATAGTAGTGATGATAGTATGGTGGATAAGGACTTCATTTTGTCATCAGATGAACTAAGTGAGGCAAGTTCACTTGACAGTGAAGTGAATATAGGTAATGAAACTGAGAATGCAGCTCAAATTTCAGATCAGGAATCCTCTGACGATGATGAAGATATCCAAGATGCAGACGAGGTAATGCAACCTTTGCCACCAACTAGTTCAGAATTTTTCACTGTTTGGACTGATGTCAATGCAGAAAATTTTATTCCGAGATATGATCTACCAGCCAGAACAGCCCCAGTTATTACAGATCAATTGAATCGAGCTAGTTCTACATTAGACTGTTTTCTAAAAGTATTTCCTAAAAGTTTGTTTATGTATATGGCCCAGTGTACAAACCGTAGGCTTGAAATTTTAGAAGAGAAAAAGAAGAAAACTTTTGTCAAAACGTGCCAAAAAGAAATGATGCTACTTACTGGTGTTACGTTAGTTATGCATTATAATAGAGTTCCTTCTTTCGCAATGTACTGGTCTAATAATAAATCGCTTGGCAACGATTGTATTCGTAGTGCAATATCAAGGGATAGGTGCCAACTACTATTATCAAAATTGTATTTTGCCGAACCCAATCAACCTGCCACAGCAAATAAAACTTATTATATAGATGATGTTATTTCCTGCTTGAAGACAAGTTTTATGAGAGCTAGAAGTGATTCTACCTATCAAGCAATTGATGAGTCTATAGCAAAATTCAAAGGGCGATCTACATTGTAACAGTATATGCCCCTCAAACCCATAAAACGTGGCATAGAGTTATGATATGATAATAAGACGGCAGGTACTTTGGGAGAACGTGTCATAAATCAGTTATCTTCAACAATTTCTAATGAAAATGTTGTAATTTGCTTCGACAGATTTTTTACAACAGTTGAATTATACAAAACCGAGTATTCCTTCTATGCGAAAGTAGGATGGGTAATAAGCAATTTGGATTTAGAAACTGTCTAGGAACTAGAGAGGTACTATTCTGTATGCGCGTTCTATTACTAAAAAGTTGTGAATTCCGAAAGAATGTTTCTGTTTGTTTCATCGACTTCAAGAAGGCGTTCGACAGAGTACAACACGATACACTTTTCGATTGCCTACGGGCAGCAGGACTTGACCACTATGATATAAGACTGCTGAAATACTTATATTACAATCAAGTAGCCTCTATCCAAATTGGAGACAGTCCGACTTAAAAACTATCCATGAAACGTGGAGTACGGCAGGGTTGTGTTTTGTCACCCACTCTTTTTAATCTGTACTCTGAAGAAATCTTTAGGGAGGCTTTGGATGACAGACAAGAGGGAGTAAGACTAGGTGGAGAGGTAATCAACAATATTAGATATGCTGACGATACAGCCATGCTTGCAGAAAATTTACAAGATCTCCAAACATTACTAAATCTAGTAGGTGAAGCAAGCTAGTAGGTGAAGCAAGTTATCGGAGAGGCCTTAAAATCAACATTTCAAAGACAAAGTGGATGGCAGTTGGAAAGATCAATATAGATCAAGGTCTGATTTCTCTTAATGGAGATGAGATCGAAAGGGTAAATCATTTCAAATACCTTGGCAGCTGGTTAAATGTAAATTGTGACTCTGATGAAGAGATAATAACCAGGATCGAAATATCACGTAAGGCTTTTATGACGTGGAAACCAGTTTTATGAACAGAAACCTGTCGATGAATATTCGTAAGAA